AGGGCTACCCAAACCCCGGCCATGGGGTGTTACCGGTCCGTGGCCTGTTAGGAACAGGACGGCAGCAGAAGAAGGCCAACGGTGGGCAAGCGGGAGCTCTGCTTGCTGTCAGATCAGCAGCGGCATTAGATTCTCACAGGAGCGCCCAACCCTGTTGTGAACTGCACATGCGAGGGATCTAGGCTGCATGCTCTTTTTGAGGATCTAATACCTAATTAACCCCTTCCCCACCACACACACACATGCCGGCTGTGGAAAAATTGTCTTGCACAAACCCAGTACCTGATGCCAAAAAGGTTGGGGACCGGTGATCCAGAGGACTGTACGATTTAAAGTAAGGATTCTTGACCCGGGAGGTGCCTGGAACCAGGGTGCTCAGGGACTGCAGCTCTGGCTTGGCTTGGTTTCCCGGCTTGGCTTGGCTAGGCAAAAGTAGGGCAGGGCACAGCAGAGGGACTGGGTGTGGACACAGAGGCAGAAGCCCTTGTTGCAGGGCGGAATGGGGTGCACTGTGGCCCTCACAAGCTCAAGGATCCAGCTGCCCGGTCCAGCTCCTCACCGTGAGTTGAGGTTCTCAACGCAGGCTGGGCTGCTGGAGGTTGCAGGTATTTCATTTTCTCCGGAGGTGAGGGACTAGGTTCCTGCCTCTCCCTCTTCCTACCAGAGCTTGAAGCGAAGAAGGAGTGGAGCGAGACCAGAAGCTGGACCCTGCGGATGCCTTTCAGATCCAGGTTCTCTATCAAGGTCCACGACTTTGCGGGCAATGCCAGGATGCCAGGCTCGCAGCTTCAGGATGCCAACCAGGGCTGAGAATTTGTTAACACAGCGCGCCGCCTAGTGGTCATTTTCTCACGACCCTCGCAGCAGGCAAACGGTGCTTCTTGGTTCAACCTCCTGTTTGGGGAAGTCTTGCAGATCCGCCTTCCCCTGGAGCCCAGGAGTCGAGGGGTGGGGGTGTGTGTGTGTGTGTGTGTGTGTGTGTGTGTGTGTGTGTGTGTGCGTGTGTGTGCGCGCGCGCGCGCGTGCGTGCGTGTGTGTGTGTGTGTGTTGGGGAAGTCTTGCAGATCCGCCTTCCCCTGTGTGTGTATGTGTGTGTGTGTGTTTGGGGAAGTCTTGCAGATCCGCCTTCCCCTGGAGCCCAGGAGGCGAGGGGTGTGTGTGTGTGTGTGTGTGTGTGTGTGTGTGTGTGTGTGTGTGTTGCAGATCCGCCTTCCCCTGGAGCCCAGGAGGTGAGGGGCAGGTGTGTGTGTGTGTGTGTGTGTGTGTGTGTGTGTGTGTGTGTTTGAGGAAGTCTTGCAGATCTGTCTTCCCCTGGAGCCCAGGAGGCGAGGGGCGGGTGTGTGTGTGTGTGTGTGTGTGTGTGGCTGGTGTGTGTGTGGTGTGTGTGTGTGTGTGTGTGTGTGTGTGTCTTGCAGATCCGCCTTCCCCTGGAGCCCAGAAGGTGAGGGGCAGGTGTGTATGTGTGTGTGTGTGTGGGGCGGGTGTGTGTGTGTGTGTGTGTGTGTGTGTGTGTGTGTGTCTTGCAGATCCGCCTTCCCCTGGAGCCCAGGAGGTGAGGGGCGGGTGTGTGTGTGTGTGTGTGTGTGTGTGTGTGTGTGTTTGAGGTGTGTATGTGTGTGGTGTGTGTGTGTGTGTGTGTGTGTGTGTGTGTGTCTTGCAGATCCGCCTTCCCCTGGAGCCCAGGAGGCGAGGGGTGGGTGTATGTGTGTGTGTGTGTGTGTGTGTGTGTGTGTGTGTGTGTGGCGGGTGTGTGTGTGTGTGTGTGTGTGTGTCTTGCAGATCCGCCTTCCCCTGGAGCCCAGGAGGCGAGGGACGGGTGTGTGTGTGTGGCGGGTGTGTGTGTGTGTGTGTGTGTGTGTGTGTGTGTGTGTGTGTGTCTTGCAGATCCGCCTTCCCCTGGAGCCCAGGAGGCGAGGGGCGGGTGTGTGTGTGTGTGGGCGTGGGGGTGGGGGAGTGGTGGGTGAATTCTAGCCACCTCCGATCCTAACTTGCTGTATGGTTCTGGCCACATCTCACCCCTCTGTTACACTTGTCGTCTGTGAAATGAGGAAGGTCATGCTGGTCTCACTGGTTTGACCTGGGGGGAGGGGAAGGGCTCTAAGCCTTTGCCCTTCTTGCCCACTTTGCCTGGGCTTGGGACCCAGGGTTGGCTGGAGCAGGCATGTGCAGTGTGGTCAGAAGATTCTACGGGGCACTGGGTTTGTGCACCCCCTTGCTAAAGTCTCTATATTCAGAAGTGGACTCCCATGGTCACTCCTCCCTTAGGGTAAACAGGACCTGGACAGAAGAAGTGGCCAGGGTGGCTAAGAGCTCAGAGTCAGTCCCCCTTGAGAGAGTGTCTTATCTGGAGATGACTTGGGGACTGAGAGGCTTCTTGGAGAAGGAAGTAGTGGACAGATCTCATGAGCCCCAGAGATTGGATAATTAATTGTGAGTTCAGAGAGCAGGTACTTAAGATAGGTGGGAAAACTGAGCTCAAAAACTAGCCTGGCTGGGCTCAGTGGCTCAGCCTGTAATCCTGCGCTTTGGGAGGCTGAGGTGAGTGGATT